TAGTCGAACTTCCTCCGTCCACCTGCGAGCACTACCCCCCAGCTCCCGGTGATGGCTGATGCTCCCTTTCCCGCTTGGTTGCAAGATTGGCGATAGCTTTCGTGAAAATGATGTGGCATTAAGAACGAGGCGGGGGGAGGAAATCTGTTTTGTTACACGCTTCTTTCATGTCATCCCTCCTCCTCATCCCGCTCGTCCTTCATCTATCATGCCTGCCATCCATCCTCTGCATGACCAGCATTATGCCTAAAAGTGTGTTTGGAGTTGATTCAAAGTTTATCATATTTTCATTCTCTAATTACGGTTGATATGTAGGAAAAAAGGCATAAGATATAGAAGATAGAAAAAAAAAAATAATACACATGTCATGTATAACAAGATTCGTTAAAATAGGGAATATGAATCCGTGTACGCTTTAAATGTGTGCTCTTTCGCCCAATATAATACANGGGTTTTAGCAAAAATGGACAGTAGGTTAGCTGACTCCAGGGATAAAGAGATTTAGGGACAGCAGAAGATTTTGAAATTCCTAGTGCTCTTCAAATCTAGGTCCATTCGGCTTTAGGGTTTTCGCAAATGGACATCAAGCGCGCCAGCCTGCAGCTCCAATCTAGGCCCATTACGCCTTAGGGTTTTAGCAACCGGACATTAAGCGTGCCAGCCGACAACTCCAATCTTGGGCCATTCGGGCTTAGGGTTTTCACAAATTGCCATTACGCGCGCCAGCCTCCAGCCCCAATCTAAGCCCATTAGGGTCTAGGGTTTTAGTAAACGGACATTAAGCGCGCCAGCCCACAACTCCAATCTAGGGCCATTAGGGTTTGGGGTTTTAGCAAACGGACATTAAACACGCCAGCCTAGAGCTCCAATCTAGGGCCATTAGGTTTTAGGGTTTTAGCAGACGGACATTAAGTAAGCCTGCCTACAGCTGCGGTACCAAATGGAAATCCGACAGCGAAGTAGCTGAGAGGAGCAAACCTGACAAGGGTCCCACCTATTGTTCACAGACAAGTGAACAGATTCAGCAAGAAAAAATAGATCAGCGTCCGATGATGTCTAAAGGAGGTCAAGGAGGCTAACGTTTACAGGGGTGAGGGGTGGTACATCCTTTCCATACTTGCAACCGCACAGCGCGCCGCACCGTCTGGTGCTCCGTACAGGGTACGGTCCGGGACCTCCCCAACCTCCGTACAGGCCCGTACCCATACCGTACAGGACCGCACGGGGCCGCGCGCTGTCGAGTGCGGCCATATCCCGTCCGGCATCTTTTTTTTTTTTTTTTTTTCCAATAATCACTGCAAGGTGGGTGCAGCAATCACCTTTCCTCTATCCCTACCCACACTCGACACACTAGGAAGACTGATGCCGCCGCCAGTCGCCCTTGCCACATGGATCAGCACCTGCCTCAACCTCTCCTTCACGGCTCGTCATCGTGACCTGCAGACAAAACCGCAGAAGAGAAGTCACGAACTCAGCCGTGTCCTGCGTCCATTCCCAAACGCACATCCCCCAACCCCTTCCCTCTCCCAATGAAACCCCATGAAATCAGCCTTATTCCACCCCCTCCTAGCCCCCGACCTCCCCAACCCCCCCACGAAAATAGCACTGCACTGCTTTTGCAAAACACAAAAACGGGAAAAAAAGAAGTGATTAATTGCCTTTCAGAAATGGAGACAATTGCTTTTCCAAATGTCCATGGAAAAGGAAGTGAGGACGACAACGTGACAAGGACGAGGAAATACAATCGGAGTTCGATTTTCAGAGTTTCATTAAAAAAAAGAAACAAAGTGACGAGGGCGTGACAAGGAGGAGGAAGATGAGGAGATGGAGAAGGAGATGAGGAGGAGGTGAGGAGGAGGTGAGGAGGAGGTGAGGAGGAGGAGAAATGGACGAGGACAACGACGACGACAACGTGATAAGGAGGATGAAATAACATCACAGTTCGAACTTAGAAGTTTCAAGTAGAAACCAAAAAACAAGTGACGAACCTGATCGAGTGCCAAAACGCTCCGAACGCGAACATCAAAAAAAAAAAAAAAAAAAAAAAAAAAAGTTCTTAGGAAAATTTGAAAAACAAATATATGTTATGTAAAATAATAATACAAACAACTTTTGTCTCGGAGGTATGCTCAAATTCGTAACCAAACTCGATTTAAAAATCAAAAACCAAAAATAGTTTTTATTTTTTTAATTTATTTTTTACTATGTTTGGTCGAACACGTTCGGGAGGCGTTCGGCCGAACACCCGAACATGTTCGGACGTTCGGAAAAGCTCCGAACATATTCGGTGTGCTACACAGATGAGGAGGATGAGAAGTGGAGGAGGAGATGGAGAAATGGAGGTGGAAAGATGGACGAGAAGATATGGAGAAAGAGGAAAAGGGGACGGTGACGAGATACCATCACAGTTCGAACTCCGAAGTGTCCATAAAAAAAATAAAATGACGAGGCCGTGACAAGGAGGATGAGGGGTGGAGGAGGGGAGATGAGAGATGGAGGAGGAGAGATGGAGAGATGGAGGAGGAAAGATGGACGAGGAGGGGTGGAGGAGAAGGACAAGGAGACATGGAGGAGAACGGCGACAAGGAAATACCATCATAGTTCGTACTTCAAAGTTTCCATTAATAAATAAAAATAAAAAATGGCGATCGGTGACAAGGAGGATGAGAGGTAGCGGAAGAGAAATGGAGAGATGGAGGAGGAAAGATGGACGAGGAGGGATGGAGGAGAAGGACGAGGAGACAAAGGAGGAGGAGGATGACGAGATACATCATAGTTCGAATTGAAACGGTTTTCACCTTTTTTGCAGTAGTAGACGCAGATCCCAGGGCTCGATCCCTAGTCCCCACCTTACCTGTTTACAGTACCTGTGTAGACCTCGAGAGTTGAACATGTGACCTGTGTATTCGTCAACAGTTGGCAGGCTGTCATAGGTCCGTAGGTGGTAGGGGTTCGATCTGTAGGTCTGTCGAATAGGAGTCGTAGTGAGTTCCAGAAGTCTTAGCTGTAGTCCTTCTAGGAGGTCGAGCAAGTGGGCAAGTGGTGGACCAGCTGCAGTACGTTCGCGGTACGGTAGCGGTAGGATAGCAGTGCGTCCCCATGTAGTCAGCGGTGCAGTCCAGTCAGTCCCAGTCCGGTCCAGCAAGTACCATGAGGGACTGTGTGCACCATGGGCCGGTGGAAAGGGGCAGACCAACGAGCTCCAAAAGTATAAATCAAGAGGCAGCGCCCAGCCATTCATTCATTCCTGCGTGAGCCATGCGGAAGCGCTGTCACAGCG